GTAACTTGGGCATTGCCGGGGCGGGGGCCAGAGGAGGAGGAGAGCACGATTTTTGGATCGTGAGAATTGATCTATGTTGGATCAGTAAGTTTCATTATGATTTTTTTTTTCAATTTTGGGGGGCTGAAGACTTAGATTTTTTTTTTTCTTTTGGATTTGCGAAGAACAGGCGGTTTTCAGGCGAAACATCAATTAAACGGGTTCAGGAGAAGAAGGCTAGTTTAGTTGGCATTAGTTTATAGAATTTTTTAAAAAAGCCAAAGTGCATTCATTAGGCTGCATGAAAGTGGATCGCATAGTAGCAACTTGGTAGACAGATGGCAATGGCAGAACGCAGGTTCGCGTACATACATGAATCCAGAGTGTGTGACAGTGTGTTTGTGTGTGGACTATATTTGTCCACACATAGGTGTGTGTGTGTGTGTGTGTAGGTATATCTGTGTGGGGGTGGCCGCAGCCCTTGCTCTCGTCACCGCGTCACCACATGTCCAAAATATTCATTGCATTGATTCAAGGGCAGTGAAGAGGGGGTGGAGGTAATTAGATTTTTCAAAATTGGGTTTCCAGTGATCATTTTACTTATAGCGAGACTGCCTGTAAAGTGTGAAACCCTTCATCGGTGAAATTGGGAAGGAGTTGCATTGGTAGAGCAAAGTACCGATTAATCATGAACTTAAAAAGGATTGCAAATTGCAACCTTTGGCACCATCTGCAAATTGTGGGGGTGGGGTCTCTTGGTATCCTTGCTGTCTTAAATGAACGTGCAGTGTGTAGTTCAGTACTTCAAGTTGCAAAGCCCTTCGGTGCACGTGTCTTGTGCCTGTGAGTGTGTATTTGTGAGTTGGGGGCTGTTGTTCGGTAGCCAGCAGGCTTTCCGGGTTGCTCGGCGCTGCCTTGCAAATGCAGGAGAGGGATGGAATGTGGAATGTTGACCGGGGAACCGAATCCTGTCGGAACGTCCCCGCGCCGATTCCGGCGGGCGGCCGCAGGCGTTTGTTTGTTGGTTCCGCGCCGCCTTCCTCTCCGGATGGCTTCCTGTGACAGAGGTGATACACAGTTTCCAGAACTGTCTGGGGGCGGGAGCGGGAGCCGAGCCCGCTCGGGGCTGCTCGCCGCCGCCGCTCCCATCTTACAACCGCTTCTCGCCGGCGCGCCCGCCCCAGCCCGAAGGTGCCGCCCCGGAGGGACTCGGGGAGGGGTACGGGGCGGCCGTTTCCAGCGGCGCAAGTGGCTTCTGGACGCGAGGGAGCGTTTGATTTGCAACTGGGGCCGAGCGGATTGGTGCAGCTGGCGGCGGCGGGGGGTGGCCACTTTCAAATGGAGAGGGCGGCGGCGGCGGCGGGGGGGTGGCCACTTTCAAATGGAGAGGGCGGCGGCGGCGGCGGGGGGGTGGCCACTTTCAAATGGAGAGGCAGGCGGTGGCGGGGACGCCGTGCGCAGGGAGCGGGGCTTGGTTGCGCCACGAGAAGGTGTCATCACTGCACCGGGGCTAATTCCGGCGGAGGTGCTGGGAGTTACTTTCCCCTCCTCCCGCGCTGTTGTTTCTGTCGCCTCGGGAGTAGGAGGAGAGAGGGGGAGAGGGAGAGGGAGGGACAGAGGGAGGGGGTGGCGCCGCCGCGCTGAGCCCGGCCCTGCGCACGCCCCAGCGGGCGGCGGGAGCGGCGCGGTGTGTTCTCCGGTGCGGGGCGGCGGCCCAGCTCCTCCGCTTCCTGGGATCCTCAGCTTTCTAATCCCCGCCTAGGCCCCACTCCGCACTCTCCCACCCTCCCACACGGGCTCCTCATCCCAGGGTCCTCTAGCCCGGGCTCCCCCGCCCCGCGTCCCCCTTCCCGTGTCTCCCCCTCCCCAGTTCTCCCAGCCCTGGGCTTTCCCACCCGGGCTCCCCCTCCTGGCGCGCGGGGGCGGCCGCAGTCCCGGCGCCCGGTGAATGCAGCGAGCAAACAAAAAAGCGGGCTATTTAAACGTGTCTTCGAAACCCGTTAGGAACGCGTCGTCACCCGGAGACCGTTTAAAAGCAGCTTTAGCTGGCTTTCTAGTAACGCGGAGGCGGGCGCCCCACCTCACTTCGGCGGGGGCGAGGTTCTGTCGCCCTCTGTTTACTCCGGCCAACAGGGAATTTAATTTTTCTTTTTGCAAAACGATAGCTGCAGTGAGTGACTTGAGACAGCTACGTTTTTAGGAAAGCGTGAGAGGTTCTGAAGTTTCCATTAATGGGAACGCGTAGGGGGGGGGTTCTTTCCCAAAGGTTTTTATTAGGTTAACCGTTTTTCCTTTTTAGAATACCTGCTGTGAAGGCTCGCTCTCTAGCCACTTGTAGCTCAAGGCTAATACCTTTCGAAACTAATGAACTAGTTTTAAGATACAGAAACATTCCCCCCTCCCCCCGAAAGCTGATTTAGGTAGTGACTGCCAGCGGTTAGAGACTTTTTATAGTAAGTTGCTGTTTGATCAAATCACAGCTAATCAAGAGTTAATCACCTTTGGGTGGAAAAAGGAAGCGTTTAATGTAATTACTGACTCAACACTATCAAAGAGTAATTTGTTGTAAGGTGGCCAACGTGGAGGAGATAAATGGGATATTTTCTCAGCTTTCTTAGCAAATACGCGCAAACCAGACTTCTTAGTTCCTTTTTATCCCAAACTCCCATTTACTGTTACTTTTAACATGACTTTTCTGATTGTTTGATATTTTGCCATCTTCCTAAATTTGTGTATTTTGATATATTTGACTTGGCATTTTTATTTCGACATCTAGAACAAATGTAATTTTCACCCACTTCAGTGTTAGGTTTTTCCATACCTTCTTTCCCCGCTGTGCTAGCAGAGATAATTGGAGTCTCCTGAACATGAGGTAGAACTTGAACTTGATTCCATCTTAAGGTCGTTGGCTGCTTTCTAGTAAGAAAAAGTTGGTGGGTTGCACTGAGATTTTTAACTTTGATAGAGCTAGGTATATGTTAATTTAAAAGGAAAAAAAAAAAAACCCACCTTATGAGTTCTTCATCACTTGATAGATTTTCTGCCTGTAAACTTTTATTCGTAACAGGTTGAATAAATAGCTATACAGGGAAAACAGTTAAAAATGATAAGCGTGCTTGAGAGTGTGAGCAGAGAGATAAAAGTCTTTGGAATTTAAGGAAATGTATTTTAGAAATGAACTGTTGCTTAGCCTAGAGGCTTGGGAAAGAAAGATGAACTGAAACAAACTTGGAGGACTTGGTGAGAATAAGAGCAGATTTCCCGGTGTCTCACCTATAGTAGGCACATGATGGATATTGATGTTTGACTTTAAGGAGTCCTTAGTGGCTTAAAGTTATTACAGAAGTGTTACGTGTCCGTTGTTTAAAATTAGAAAATACAAGGAAGCAAATATAATAAAAACATATTCCTGCTACCCAGAGATCACCACTGTGTTACTTTCCGGATAAAATTTTTATACATATGTGTGTTTCTTATTCTATACAGTTTTTTTTCACCCATCCAGTTTGGTAAGTTTTAACCTCATGTTCAGGTTTCTCTATTTGGCCCCAAAATATAATAGCGCTGCTTTGTCTAAACCACTGCCCAGTCAAGGACCATGTATTGCATTTGTTATTTCCCTTAAGTAGATTTTAACCTCTAGTAACTTTTTGACAGAACATGTGACACTGAGGAGGCAAGCCTTTGGAAATAAAGTGGACTAAAGTCGACTTTTTTTTTTTTTAAAGCTGGAAATCAAAGTTTATTGTAATTTTGAAGTCTTAGATTTGGAGATCATCTGTCTGAAAAATACTTTCAGGAAATTTGTTTGCCTGTTATATTTATCCACAGACTTGTTGGAAAAAGATATATCAAATGTTTGTGTTTCAGTACTGAGGGTGGTTGGAATAGCAAACATCAAGATATCAAACACCGATCCTATCTTCTATCTTTAGTGTTTGTTGGTAGTGAGAAGGAGGCATATGAATCTGTCACAATTCTGCTTGCTGCTTTACCTTACTGTCGTTTAGTATTATGGGGTACCTGTTACACCATTATAGTTAATGGTCTCAGAATTTGCATTATAAACCCTGTTTTCCCCACAAGATTTATAAAATAGGTACACTCTGGAGGAAAGTATAACTCCTTAATCAACATATCTTTCTTTTTATATGTGTTGATGTTACAAAGTTTGGCTTGATTGTTAAAACAGTAGGAGTTATATCAGTTTTAAACTTCTTCCTTCCCTCCTTGTCCAAACCTTTTATTTAGTAAATTGGCACCATAGTCAACAATTCCCCTCCCCCACTCTTTTCCCCTGCTTGAAGGGTGGGTTTCCTTGGAGTTGTTAGTTTCTTAGAAGGTGTCAGAAGTTGGGCAGCAACCTTAATTGGAAAGGTATTGTCATTCCTGAGAGAGGCAAGTTGTTTCCTTGGAAGTTTTAGAAGTCTTCAGTCTATTTTCTCCATTTTCAAGATCTTGCAGCACCTTCTGTGTGGTTAAAAGTTGGGCAATTACTGTTTATTATTTTTATCTTTGTAGATCGTAATATCTCAGAAAGTTGAGACTTAATTGAGAGAGAACCTATTGTTATTTGCCTGGTATATTTCTCATGCAGAAAACTTTGGTCTGTCATCATGAAGGTGTGTACAGTATTTTTATTTTTATTTTTTTGCAGTTGTTGGCTCCGATGAAGCAAGTTACTTTGCCTTCTAATAAATTCAAGAATGGCCCTGGGAGGGACTTTTTACCTGTGAGTGGAAGTGACACTTTGTGAGTTTAGCTGGGGTTGAGTATCATGGAACAGAGTAGAGGAGACTGATGCTAGACTCTGGCCATGTTGTGGCCCAGCCCAGGACTTGAATGATTAGTAAGAATGTCTTTCCTCACCTCAAAATAACAAAAATAAAGATGATCAGACTTGGGGTGGAAAGTTTAATTACGGGGAAGGGGCTGTGTATTTTCATTTTTAATCCTTTACTAACTTTAGACCAATGGTATCTGTGCACTCAAAAATGTTCAAATACCAAACTTTTGATTCCTCAAAAACTACTCCGGTATTTACTTTTTGCTTTGGGTTCTTTAGGTAGAGTCAGACCTAATAAGGTGATTGAGGACAGTTGATG